TGCACCGAAGAAGATGCTCTGAGAGGACAATATGCTGCTCCGAAGGTGTTGCAGCTATCATGTATCCCAAACGACATGAATTCTTTCATCATTATAAACATCTCCTATCGATATCTCTCATCGCCCCTAGACACGACACAGCAGATGGGCGGCACGAGGCACGCGGCTACTGAAGACACGTCGACCCCAGTTGCTGCTGAAAAATAATACAGGACCTTATCAGTATGAAACAAAGATGCACAATATGTTTTTGACGATGTCGCTGCGAGCGTAGTGACTGTCAAAGAAAAAAAAGTTATATGCCACTCAGATATATTATCAATCAATCTGTATCAACTTAATAAGAAATTATCAATTGTACCTCGCGTGCGTCTGGGAGCCCCTCTGAACGCTGATTTCTGCATCGTCCTGCACCCGCGGCCTAGATCCGCAGTGTACTCTCATCCTTCATAGGTGATGGTTATTGCAGTGTCCAATGTCACTTTGTGTGCTCTGCAGGTGGACATCAAAGTTTCATCCTCTTTTTCTACAGTTCGTCGCTAGGATCCGCTTCAGACTCAATCGCATAATCTAATATTTCGATCTAAATCTAGATTATTTGTAGGTCTAAATAAGTAGATGTACAGGATATATAAAAGCGATATAGCATTCTGCATTTACTTTGTAACAAACATCAGTGATTTATTAGACATGATATAATATAGCAATATAGTGAAACAGCAAAGAAATAGAGGAAATTTTGGTCCTCTTTAGCTAAGAATTTTATTTCAAACATGCACATACTTGTAATGCTCAACCTGTGCTTTTACAAGTGTACGTTTATAAGTAGGAATATACCTGTCGGATATAAGTATCTACTAACACTCTTCCAAAGCATGGAAGACCAGACAATCAAAACTGCAATAGAAAGAATACCAAGACTATATGTACCCATTCTCTCAGAGCTTCACTCTGTCTCTCGAGAGAGTTCGCGTTGTATCTGCGCTATCGCGGGATTTGCGACGGCATCATCTGTTCGGGACTGGCAGAGATATGATCTATCCTGTTAGTCTTGCGCGCCTGATGTCGCAGCACATGGTCTGCAGCCCACAATTCTCGACTCCTTCTATCAGACCCCCGCTGTATGCTATCGCGTCAACTTGTGAACCGACCTACTCCCGTACTGAACTCATCATGCCATCCTTGACTTTTGGCTCTCGAACTGCTTCTGCATTACATAAGAGGCGCGTTTGTCGTTTTTCGCTCTCCCAGTGGGCATCGCTTCGTACATCCCTCTACACGAAATCATTGCCCTGACTGTTTATTTGACTAGGCTAACATTTTCGAATCCAGCAGACTTTGTGCTCTGTTGGTCATGAACCGAAATAGTATCTGCATCGAAACGCATGTTGCCTAACCCAAGGGGACGGACATTATTGCAGCGGATAGCTAACGACGCGCATGGGACCTTATTAAATACAACTTGAGTGATGATTAATGGTTTTGTGTTAAGTCCGATGTATTTACGAGGTCATGCCTATATTCCGGTATCTAAGACTTAGCGCAGATCTAGCTATACTTGTGGTTACATGAACGTGACTCAGGCGCGTGACAAATTCGGCATCTGCCTGAAATCATCGAATTAACCCTCTCAGAGTACGAGCTCAGTGCCAGGCGCACCTCAAAGATCGACCCTGGCCTACTGAGGATTTAATCTAATTGTGAGCCATTTTGGCGCTGTTCCGAGTTGGTTCTAAGCTGTCAAAAGACGGACTGCTTTCCTCATTGTAGAAAATCTGCATGAGGAAAATATTCGGTTAACGCGACCTCTGCTCCCAGATTGACTTCCAATACATTAATTTTCGAAATAAGTCCCCAGGATCGGAAGTAAATGGGCGGACTTCGCTGTCTCTTACTCAAAGGGACCAGACAATATCACCCCGCGCCGGATTTGACGCGGGCCTCCAATTGAAATAGCCCTGGTTTAGATGATGTTATGCGATGTGTTGGCTCTAAATAAAATAACAAACTTTGACACATGCAACAAAGAAAAGAGGCCTTCACAATATTCAAAACAAAGAGGCAAAACTCAAATAAAATAAAAAAACAACTTAGGTATTCTTTATTCTTGATAAGGTTTATGTAACTTAATGGGTAGTTTAACGATTTGTACGTGGACGGTTAAAAACTGTTCCTCGACGGCGTCTTTCTAGCAGGTTGCTGCCCATCACTGTCACTTTAGAGCAGGCGCCGTGGGAATTGTAGTTTTTTATAGTGCGTTGACTACAGACGTCACGATTAGGTGGCCTTTCTTATAAAATCTAAATACTGGCTCTAATAGTGTGTCTACTTCATTTCAGTCAGTTATGTTAAAGAAACCCTGGTCAGAAGAGGATTTCAGTTGTTGTGCTACAGACAGGCCTCTAAAACTAATTAAACATCCCATCTGCTCAGCCAGGAATATTTTAAATATCAAGAAGCCCCTGTGAATTACATTTTTGTATGAGATGCTAAACGGCTTACTGCTGTGTTTACATTTTGTTTTTTTCCATTTTACTCCTCAGTGTTTCATTATTTATTTCCCTGCCAGCTGTTCACTTCGTTGAGTCTCATATGGGATTATTTTTCTTTGACATAATGGAAGTGATTACTTGAATCTCTGTCCAAACATGTGCACTTCTCTCAGTTGATGGCCACTCACCTTGAGACAGGTGGCTGTCACGTGAGAGGCTCTACTGAGCCAAACAGTCCCTCGGCTTCTCAGAGAGTCCGTCCATCGCTTCAGCTTCACTCAGCTGGAGCGTCCCAGCTC